AATAAAAAAAAAAAAAAAAAAAAAAAAAAATAAATAAGTCTGGCACTTAAATCGTTTCGACTTACAGATAAATTTTTGGACAGAGTCAAACATGTTTAAGTTATATTGATCTGGCATATCAGGATTTCCATACAGCAGCAGATTTAAATTATTCCCATGAGGAAGATTTCTAAAACATTGTAATCTTAATTGTTCGAAGCTAGGACAAAAGAGGAGAAAGTGTTCAGTAGTTTCAGCAGAACGGTTACAAGAACACATGGGACTTTCAACTAAGTTACGTAAAAATAAGTGATTTTTAAGGGAACTACAGTTTACCTCAGTCGAGCGTGGTGAATTTGGCCAAATCTACTTTTGCAGTAGTAGTAATAGGATGGAACACGATTATTGTGATGATAGTTGACATACACGGACTTCTAAGGTTAGTGAGTGATGGGTTATCCTTAACGTCATCCGGAAGAGCTTTCCATAAGTCAACAGAGGAAGGTAGAAAAGAATCTTTATAGAGTTTAGTACGACATCTTATTTGACAGAATTTATTCGCGTTTCTAGTATCGTGAGAATGAATGTCAGAATGACGAGCGGGGAGTATGTTACATGTAGTTAAATAGGAGGGACACTGACCATGAACAATCTTATGAAGTTGTGTTATTTTATGTTTTCGTCTTCTTTCAATAACAGGGTCCCAACTAGTTTCAAAATACGATCTCTCATGACTTGTTAATTTAGTAGCCCCAGTGACAATCCTGGCTGCTTCGAGTTGAATATTTTCTAACAGTTGGCTTTGACCTATCGTTATATTGTCCCATATCACGTCACCATATTCTAACAAAGGTCGAATTAAAGTAAAATAAATAGTTTGAAGCGTTTTTCTGTCAATAGTAAATTTCAGTTTTCTTAAGAGGCCTATTTTTTTTTGAAGCTTTGTTAATTATATACTGAACATGATCAGTCCACCCTCCATTAGACGAAATAAAGACACCAAGGTGTGTGTGACATGTTACCACTGTTAGTGGGTTGTTGTTCATAGACAAAAGGGGATGAAGTAGTTTGTCATTTTTTCTGCTTACTGTCATTGACACTGTCTTACTAATCACATGGTAAATTGATTGTGGTATGCACATTGACAATATGTAAAATATAAACACGAGTCCTTCTACACTGGTTAAATATTTACTCTCCAGGTGTTTTTTTTTTATAAAACAAGAATGAGAACGTGCTTGGCAAATAATAAACGAAGACTGGTTAACCCGACTAACAGACAATAGTTTGGTACTTATCTCGTGTATACTTGAACCTTTTCCTGTAGACTATAATACACTGATAGGTATTCGTTCTGATTTACCAGGGTACGTGTAGTTGCATTTTTTGTGATTTGACAATAAGTGAAAAATTCTCAAATGACTTTACCAGAGTCATTGAATACTTGTGAATTGACTATCAAGTTATACAATTTCAAACTACTTTACCAGGACCGTTATTTATTGGTTAACCGTTTTAAAACTACATATAATTATTTTCTTTTTAATTTACTATTACGCGATAAACTCCAAAACTATTTTACCATGATCGTTGTATATTAAATAATTGTTTTAATTAAGTTTAATGTAATTGTTGCAGCTATGAACTGCATCAATTTATGATCAATAAATAATAACGAATTATTAGTGAATTGACAATTAGTGATAAACTCTCATTTTTTTATCAGGATCCGGATATAACAAGCACCAGAGGTAGTGATGTTATTTTACGGCGAATGAAAGAAGGAAGAAAAGTGTGCAAGGAACTGATCGAATATCTGTCTGAAAGGTAAGGCCAAGGAACTGATCGAATATCTGTCTGAAAGGTAAGGCCAATGAACTCATCGAATATCTGTCCGAATGGTTAGACCAAGGCACCAATAAAGTAACAGTACACTAAGGTTTAAAGTTGACTTATTTCGTTTATTATTTATACTTTAGGTAAGGCTAGCGACAACCGTGAACACGGTCTTGCATGTATATATTGGAAAGTAGACACTACATTATATAAAAAAGACATTACAGAAAAAATCTCTACATTATAATCAAATATAGCCCGATATAGGTCAAGCCTACACCGATATCCATTCAATGATGAATTATATAATGGCATACATCATTACAGTACAGTTTTATATTAACTCATAGCACAATGAACTATGTTGCAGTAGTACCAGCAATACTGGTAAGAATTCTTGTTTAGTACTTTATTATCCAACACAATGAACATAAGACACAAACAGGAATCCGTTTATATATATTGAATGTCATGATATGTGTTAGTACCTACATGCACGAATGTGGTTATGTTTTGTAACACCTTTCCACGCACAAAGTGCATTCACAGTAAGTGTTTATGTTATTGATTTCTAGTCTGTTTCAGCTTCGCTTTATGTAGAGACATGTTAATATATTCATCTGAAGGAGTCATAATAGGTTTTCTGTAGAAGTATACATCAGCGTAAAGAAAATGTTATTTTTTGGTAGAATATGTTCCATGGAAGTTGGCTGTTTAACACGCGAAATTCTTATCAAGCGTCTATTCGAATTCAACCTGTCTCAATTTAGTAGAGGTTTTGTTCCCGACATTGTTAATGTTTTACAAAAATACAATTTGTATCATTTTATTGATGAATTTTTGAAGAGTGGTGTATTTCCAAACAAATGTCAATGGAAGCGTTTAGTCAATGACCATGTAAAAAACTATGAACAGTTTAACTTATGTGAAAGAATGAACGCTGATAGGGACTTCTCTCGCTTCACTCTTTTACATAATAAGATACAACCGTATGCTATATGGAAACTTGCTTTACGCTTTCCACAATACAGTCCATGTTTTAAGAAAATTGTTAAACTTTGTGTTGAAATGCGCGATAATGAAAATATATATTTGTGTCATTACTGTGGATCTATGTACAAAGATACTATTATGCATAGTGTACTCGAATGCTCACACACAGAGCTATTACGTGACCAGCTCTGGTGTGTACTCAGTACTGTAAAAGATATAGATTTTGTGTTTAATCTTAATGTAATGTCTAATTACCATCTACTTCATGTTCTTCTTGGTGGTATTTTCAATTATGACTTATCTCCATATGAACTGGAGGACTTTAGAATAAAATCCATTGTTATTATTACTAAAATTCTTCAATACAGTGGCATTATGTAATTTATCCTTAGATATTTGAATGTTGTATACTGAGTAATATGATCACTAATTTACTTGTGTGTACCTCACGCTTCAGCAAGATGAATACATGAAATACATATATTTTTGTATTCATATTAGTAGGCAAGCATTTCCTACGTCTTTCCTGTTGATTAGTGCAACTTACTACCATTCATAATATTGTTTGTATTGTATGAATTAATCTTGTGAGATGTATTACTACAACTGAAATCATTGTATGGTTGCGCTGTTTCTTCAAGTTAATTATTATATTGTATGTTGTGTATTTCACACCACTGTATGACTATGTTGTATGACTTCGTGCAACGGGTTCTACTCAATGTATGATTGTATTGTAAGACTTATGTAACAGTAATACTGTCTATAATAATGCTGTATAATTTATAGTGCGATGCTTGTAATACTGTTTATTACAATGTTGTATGATTGCTTAGTACGAGAAGTGGATTACTGTCTATACTATTATATGATAATGTAGTCTGAGGAGTGTAAATATGTCTATTATATCAATGTGTGATGTAATATATGATTAGTGTTATACTGTCTATCATCATAATTATCACCGTATAATGACTGTAATAGTACCTATTATATCATTGTGTTGTGTTTATAGTACTTTATGGTATGATGCGTGTACTATTATTATTCTCTTATGTGTGTGTCTGTCCATGTGCATGTGTGAGTCACTATGTCAGGGTGTGACCATGATTGTGAATGCATTTTCTTCTCTTTTCAATAGTGTTTTGTTCGTTATTTCTGTAACTCTTCGTTTTTGGAGGAAATAAAGGAAATAATAATAATAATAATAATACATGATCGTAGACTGATTTCCCATAGCGATAACGGTGGCGGGGACACTTGTACCCACAATTTCCTGCGTACACACCTGCATGTATACCAGGAATATAAGTCTGTCATACACACGAATACTGCACAAATATCGATTCAATTACCAAGTTTACAAGTTTATTGGTTTTCCTCAGATACATTAAAATATACAACATGAGGTATCAGACTATAATAATACACATGTGATGACAAAATGGATGGCAAGTTCACAAAACAGTCATCATGATACATATTACAGCAGTTTGTTATTTTTTTCCAACAAAAGACAAATTCCATTTAATACTGTCGTGTTACAAAATGACAACAGACCACTCATTTTAATTTGAGACGGATTTTTTCTATAATACAGAGGAATATATTTTTCTCTAAGCTCTACAATTATTAAATTTGTACATTTGAATAAATAGTGAAATTCGTCGCCTATCTCATTTTTACATAGAGTGCATTTTCGGTCTTGTTTATGGATATTATGTCACCTACCCGTTTCAATGGGAAATTTCATATTAGAACATCTAAATTTGCATAATATTGATCTGTTTTTTTCAGAAAGGCGAGTCAAATAAGGCTCAATTACATGTTTCTTCTTAAATTTACCATAGAGTTCACCTCGTGATGAATTTTGAATGTTTGCATGCCATCTTTGTAAAAATTGATCAATAAAAATTTGTTTGACAGTGTTTTTAATATAATATTTACTAATAGGTTCCTGTTTTATAAAAATAGAACTTTGTCCGACTTCATCAAAACACATTTTTATATATTCTAACCATTTAAACTTACACAAATTATTGGCTTGAAGTTTGAACATTATCCTATACATATGGCAATTAAGTTTAGAGGTATTCGTTAAGAGTGAGTTATAAAGTCATCATTCTCAACTTAACAGCTATCTCAAGAGGATATTGACCTAATTCACCATATATCATAAAGTTTGGAGTCGAAGTTCCCATGCCCAAAATTCGTCTGCAAAATATCAAATGAGTTTGTTCTACTATTTTGATATTTTCGTAACCCCATAATTCAGATCCATATAACAATATAGGACTAACGAGGGTATGAAACAATTTAAGTTGCAAGTCTATTGGAAGATGTTGATTTTTTATATTACGATACACAGAAAAAAAAAGATTTTTGGGCTTGCTCACAAAGCTTTCGTTTACATTTCAAAAAGCTACCATTGCAATTAAAAATCACACCCAGATAGCTGAAATTGTCCACTTCTTCTATAACTTTACCGTTAATTCTAAATACATGGTTATTATTAGATATGCGTTTACAGAGTACAAGTATTTTTGTTTTCTTCACATTAACTTCTAATTTCCATATATCACAGTATTTCTGAAAAACGTTAAGAGCATTTTGCAAACCTTCAGCAGAATCAGAAAGAAGAATTGTATCGTCAGCGTATAACAGGACAAAAAGATCCACAAACATATTCAGCTCAGTCTGAAATTTATCTTTCAATTGTTCTAAGGGAAGTGAACTATTGTCTCTAAAAAAGTCTTCCATGTCATTAAGGTAGATAGAAAATAAAAAAGGGAAAGATTTTCGCCCTGCCTTACACCAACTAGACAAGGAAATAACTCAGACTTGGTGTTTTTAATTCTACACATGATTTTATATTTTCATACATGTTTTTGATAACAGTAAAGCATTTGCCTCTAATTTTGCTTTTATATAGTTTTCTGAAAAGTCCTACTCTCCAAACCGTATCAAACGCTTTTCTAAAATCGATAAAAGTCGTATACAGTTTTTTGTTACTGGCCAAATATAAAGATAACAGCGTGTGCAATACAAAAATATTGTCAACCGTGGAGTGACCTTTACGGAAACCTGCTTGATTAGGAGAGATTATATTATGTTTATCTGAGTAGTTATTAAGCCTGTTGTTCAAAATATGTGTAAACAGTTTCCCGAGACAACTTATCAGTGTGATACCCCGGTAATTATCTGGGTCTTTGGGGTCATCCTTTTTCTTATAAATTGGTTTTATTATCCCAATTGTCCAGGATTCAGGGATCACTCCAGAGTTAAAAATAAGGTTAAACAGTTTACATATTACTAGACGTGCTTCATTAGGTAGATATTTGATATTTTCGTTCAAAACCTGATCCATACCCGGTGACTTACCACTTTTGAGCTCCTTGATACTTTTATTTACTTCATCAAGCGTAATTTCCCTATTTAGATCATCATCATCAGCAGCAGCAGCAGCATCACCATCATCACCATCATCATCATCTTCATCATCGTCATCCTCATCATCTTTGTCATTTAACTCTTTGAAGAAGTTACATAGGACATCTAATGAAATTTCATTATCTTTGTTTTTCGTCTTGGATTTTATTTTTACGAATTTTCCAAAATTCCCCTGGATTGTGTTTGGCCGACGCGCGTAAGTTGTGCGCACATTTCGATATATATTCTTTAAAACTTTTGTTTAATTGTTTCCGGTATGACTTAGCACATTTGTTCATTTCATTCTTAGTTTCGTTACATTTGCTTAAGCTGTGCCTTGACCGACTCTTGTTAAATGCAGATCTAGTAGTATTACATTTCTTGTCAAACCATGGTTTATTTTTAGATGTTACTTTAGGTTTTGGCCTGTTACCAGCGCTTACATACGTTTTAACCCCCATAGTTTTCCGAGCCGTGTCTAGCATAACATTACAAAATTTTGAAACTATTTCATCAACTTCATTTTTTTCAACAAGATTGTTGTTACTCAAAGTATCAATTCGGTCATTTATTTCATTCATTGTATGCATCACATCATCAATCGACTGGTATTGGTTGTTTTTACTATGTTCCCATTTTACATATTCCTCTGTTTTTGACTCATCAGAATTTTTTCCTGTAACTTTTGGCTTATAACCAATACAAAATTTCAATCGACAGTGAACATCTGAGAACATTCGATTATAATCACAAATTTCAAAATCAACAATACTATTAGCTATATCGACACTAAACAGTAGGTAATCAACGACACTCACTCCTTTACAGGTGACCTTACCAACACCTTTGTCCGCTTTATGGAGACGACCATTGCCTATGAATAACGAACATCGTTTGCACATATCAATTAATCTTAAGCCATACTTATTAGCGCGACCTTTATCTTCGTTAACTTGATCGATAGACACAATTACCTAATTACTTCTTATATTTTCAGATCGAAAGCAGAAGCTGCGTTTGCCAAAGCCCTTAAAAATGCTGCTCGTAAGCTGGAGAATAACTTGGAAATAGGGTATGTTAGAATTTCAAAATGAAAAAAAGAATTGAAGATAGTCTTATTATATTTTTTCATATACATATAGAAGATTTTAAAAATCACGTAATTGGATTTATGTCTGCGTATACATTACAGTAACATATATATCAACATTTATAAAATAAATATGTATGTAGAAACTAATAAAATACTTCGATTAATAGTAATATTTTATTTCCTGTCAATGTCTTCCAAAATTTAATTAATATTGTGACTGGAAAAAATCCTCGTCAAGTTCCTCAATTCAACATTCAATATATCGACGATGTGCTGTTTTTGAATAGCAAGTCATTAATTGACCACATCATTTATACTTTACCCTCATGAACTTGAAAGCAAGGACACAATAAACTCTTCTACTTCAGCCGCTTTCATGAACCTTACTTGCCATATGAACAAAAGTGGACAGCTAACTACACTGTACTAAGCTGTACTAGAATCGAGACGGTTTCGACTTTCCGTATGTGAACTTGTCCTTTCTTGGTAGTAAAACAATGATTAATGCTTTGAACAAGCTTAATGGTCGTCATCCCGAGTTCTCGCTGTGAGGACGTGACACTACTTGTGGGTTTGTTGTCTCTTCCCGAGTTCTCGCTGTGAGGACGTGACACTACTTGTGGGTTTGTTGTCTCTTCCCGAGTTCTCGCTGTGAGGACGTGACACTACTTGTGGGTTTGTTGTCTCTTCCCGAGTTCTCGCTGTGAGGACGTGACACTACTTGTGGGTTTGTTGTCTCTTCCCGAGTTCTCGCTGTGAGGACGTGACACTACTTGTGGGTTTGTTGTCTCTTCCCGAGTTCTCGCTGTGAGGACGTGACACTACTTGTGGGTTTGTTGTCTCTTCCCGAGTTCTCGCTGTGAGGACGTGACACTACTTGTGGGTTTGTTGTCTCTTCCCGAGTTCTCGCTGTGAGGACGTGACACTACTTGTGGGTTTGTTGTCTCTTCCCGAGTTCTCGCTGTGAGGACGTGACACTACTTGTGGGTTTGTTGTCTCTTCCCGAGTTCTCGCTGTGAGGACGTGACACTACTTGTGGGTTTGTTGTCTCTTCCCGAGTTCTCGCTGTGAGGACGTGACACTACTTGTGGGTTTGTTGTCTCTTCCCGAGTTCTCGCTGTGAGGACGTGACACTACTTGTGGGTTTGTTGTCTCTTCCCGAGTTCTCGCTGTGAGGACGTGACACTACTTGTGGGTTTGTTGTCTCTTCCCGAGTTCTCGCTGTGAGGACGTGACACTACTTGTGGGTTTGTTGTCTCTTCCCGAGTTCTCGCTGTGAGGACGTGACACTACTTGTGGGTTTGTTGTCTCTTCCCGAGTTCTCGCTGTGAGGACGTGACACTACTTGTGGGTTTGTTGTCTCTTCCCGAGTTCTCGCTGTGAGGACGTGACACTACTTGTGGGTTTGTTGTCTCTTCCCGAGTTCTCGCTGTGAGGACGTGACACTACTTGTGGGTTTGTTGTCTCTTCCCGAGTTCTCGCTGTGAGGACGTGACACTACTTGTGGGTTTGTTGTCTCTTCCCGAGTTCTCGCTGTGAGGACGTGACACTACTTGTGGGTTTGTTGTCTCTTCCCGAGTTCTCGCTGTGAGGACGTGACACTACTTGTGGGTTTGTTGTCTCTTCCCGAGTTCTCGCTGTGAGGACGTGACACTACTTGTGGGTTTGTTGTCTCTTCCCGAGTTCTCGCTGTGAGGACGTGACACTACTTGTGGGTTTGTTGTCTCTTCCCGAGTTCTCGCTGTGAGGACGTGACACTACTTGTGGGTTTGTTGTCTCTTCCCGAGTTCTCGCTGTGAGGACGTGACACTACTTGTGGGTTTGTTGTCTCTTCCCGAGTTCTCGCTGTGAGGACGTGACACTACTTGTGGGTTTGTTGTCTCTTCCCGAGTTCTCGCTGTGAGGACGTGACACTACTTGTGGGTTTGTTGTCTCTTCCCGAGTTCTCGCTGTGAGGACGTGACACTACTTGTGGGTTTGTTGTCTCTTCCCGAGTTCTCGCTGTGAGGACGTGACACTACTTGTGGGTTTGTTGTCTCTTCCCGAGTTCTCGCTGTGAGGACGTGACACTACTTGTGGGTTTGTTGTCTCTTCCCGAGTTCTCGCTGTGAGGACGTGACACTACTTGTGGGTTTGTTGTCTCTTCCCGAGTTCTCGCTGTGAGGACGTGACACTACTTGTGGGTTTGTTGTCTCTTCCCGAGTTCTCGCTGTGAGGACGTGACACTACTTGTGGGTTTGTTGTCTCTTCCCGAGTTCTCGCTGTGAGGACGTGACACTACTTGTGGGTTTGTTGTCTCTTCCCGAGTTCTCGCTGTGAGGACGTGACACTACTTGTGGGTTTGTTGTCTCTTCCCGAGTTCTCGCTGTGAGGACGTGACACTACTTGTGGGTTTGTTGTCTCTTCCCGAGTTCTCGCTGTGAGGACGTGACACTACTTGTGGGTTTGTTGTCTCTTCCCGAGTTCTCGCTGTGAGGACGTGACACTACTTGTGGGTTTGTTGTCTCTTCCCGAGTTCTCGCTGTGAGGACGTGACACTACTTGTGGGTTTGTTGTCTCTTCCCGAGTTCTCGCTGTGAGGACGTGACACTACTTGTGGGTTTGTTGTCTCTTCCCGAGTTCTCGCTGTGAGGACGTGACACTACTTGTGGGTTTGTTGTCTCTTCCCGAGTTCTCGCTGTGAGGACGTGACACTACTTGTGGGTTTGTTGTCTCTTCCCGAGTTCTCGCTGTGAGGACGTGACACTACTTGTGGGTTTGTTGTCTCTTCCCGAGTTCTCGCTGTGAGGACGTGACATTACTTGTGGGTTTGTTGTCTCCTCTCGAGTTCTCGCTGTGAGGACGTGACATTACTTGTGGGTTTGTTGTCTCTTCCCGAGTTCTCGCTGTGAGGACGTGACATTACTTGTGGTTTTGTTGTCTCTTCCCGAGTTCTCGCTGTGAGGACGTGACATCACTTGTGGATTTGACCTATAGTGTTACATCGATGAAGCAGGAGACCTCGGAATACCCAGTCTCATTGTCCTTGTACTTGTAGAAGGGCCTACGTGTTCAGTTTTCTTTTGTTCATTTTTTCCTAGTTTTATCGATTTTGAGTTGGAGTTATTGGTCTGTTGTGTTTTGTGATAGGGACCTGGGAAGTTCTATGCTGTCCCTTAAGGCGGAGACAGAACATATAGCTGTGGCCCACGAAACAGCTGGCACCGATTTTTCCTCCCTGTCTATAGAACTTTCCAACTTCAGCAAGGAACAGGAGGTAGCCAAAGCACAGGTATACACTGCTAGCTGTGTAACACAATATTAAGTGTGCATATGTATATTAATGAACAAAATAAGTCGATTCAATGTAAGTGTAATCACATTTCAATACAATACCAAAACTCGAAAAGAAGAAGGTGAAAAATGAAAATTAGTTCATTTAATGAAGTTTCATTAAAGTATCTTGACAAAATATTATGCCTTAATATATAAACAATTGTGAATGGATCCCAATTTGGGATTGTAAGTAAAAAACAATTAAATTTTTTAAATGTTTTCCTTGAAGGAATATTTCTGCACAAAATTATCTAAATGTAAACATAACTGTGTTACTCAAATATAGAAGAAAAATAATTGTGGAATACGATTTTGAAAAAAAATCTATTAAAATCGGTTCATTTCAATGATAACTGTACCATTTGTTTCAAAACTGAGAAGAGAGGAGAACTTCTACAGAAAGCCACATCGAACAAATTAACAAGCAACACCAAGGCTTCCACGGTAAGTACGACTCCAAGGGATTCTACAGCCCGAATTCAACAGTATTCTAGTAACAGGAACACAGTCTGGCTGGTACGTCAGGAACACCGGCTTTCTGTAAGAGGATGTCGTAACTTTTGTATTAGTTTTACTCCGAAAAGTGCGAGCTTTTAATATTATATTATTATCAATCTAGGTTCTTTTCAAATCAAGATTATATCAGGAACACAATAAATGTAAAATGCAATGAGAGTATTGTCTGAAATGTCCAATGTTGTTGTGATTTACCTGATCCATGCACTTAAATAATAGCTATATGTACTCGTTGCTTAATAATAAAATATATTTGTCAGTTATATGGGTTATTTAAATGTTAATAACTGAAATAATGAAAAACGCGCTATATAAATAAACATAATATGTTAAACAACGTGATAGAAAATAAAGCTGTAAATATTGTACATTTTATCATACATTGTATCTTGACCATATGTAGGATGAGCTTCATGCTCAATATGTTACCAAGTATAAATAAAGCCATTATTATCATATTATTATTATTATAAAGGATCAATTGTGTCCGAAATCCTATCTTAATAACTGTGAATACAGTTCAATTTTAGAAGTTTCGTCTCAGAGAAATCTGGCCCATTATATAGTCTTGACTGTAATTCAATGATAATCATACTGATAGCATATGTCTGTTTTCCAGCTTAAAGATAAATATGTTCAGAGGTGCCGAGAACGAGATACGGCGAACGATGCCTACAAAACGGCGAGAAGTAGTGTGACGACTCAGGCTAAGGATCTTCAGAAGGTATGTAATAATCTCGACTCGGCATAATTCAGTCTATTAACTTTGAGCGTACAGTGTGGAAATTACTACTCATTCTATGTATACGACTAAGTATGTGTTTTACCTTATATCGATACCACAGTGTTACTATGTCAATACACAGTCACAGTGTTACTATGTCA